AGCTCTATCCCAGTGCTCTATCCACTGTATCACCTAGCTGCCCTGATAGAATACTATTGTGCTATAAGAAATTACAAGGACAGCTAGGTGGTGCAGTGGATAGAGTGTTGGGTCTGGAGTCAGGAAGAATCATTTCGTGAGTTCAAATCCAGCCTCAGACATTTCCTAGCAGTGTGATTCTGGTTTAACTATATTTGCCTCAGTTTACCCACCTGTAAAATGAGCTGGAGAACCTAATGGCAAACCTCTCCAGTATCTCTGTGACCCCAAATGGGGTCACAAAGAGTTGAAAATGACTGAACAACAAATAAGAAATGACTAGAAGAATGCTTGCAAAAAAAAAACCTGGGAAGACTTATAAATGAACTGATGCAAAGTGAAGTGAGCAGAACCAGAATAACAGTGTACACAGTAACAGCAATATTATATGATGTTAATTGTGAATGACTTAGTCATTCTCAGAAATACAATAATGTAAGACAATTCCAAAGGACTTAATGATGAAAAATGCTATATACCTCCAGAGAAAGAACTGATAGAGTCTGAATGTAAGTGAAAGCACATTTTTTAAAAAACTTTCTCTATTTTACTTTTTTTGGGTCTATTTTTTCTTTTACAAAATGACTAATATGGAAATATATTTAATGACCGCACATGTATAATCTATACCAAATTGTTTGCTTTCTCGGTGAGGGGGAAGGGAAGGGAGGGAGAAAATTTCGAACAAGTTTTTTCTTAAATAATGCTAAAATTGTTTTTACATGTAATTGGAAATTTTTTTTAAGAAGGCCAGCCCTGTCTTTCAAAGCAGCAAATGGTAGAATACCACCTGTGACTCACATTACCAGAACAAATGTCATTCAGGGATCTTCTCTATATATTATACCTTATTTTCTCTTCTCCTCTTGGGTTCCCCTCCTCCCAATTCTCAGTTACTATTTAGATTACAGCTGAGTGAAAATAAGAGAAATTTTAAAATACCTCCACATTTTTTAAAAATTCAAATAACAGTGCAGGAGAAAGAAAAAAATGTTAAGTCCTAGGGTAGTGGAAAGCCTGGAAATCAGGAGTCCTGACTCTGTAATTGTGAGACCTTGGACAAGTCATTTAGTCCCCTCTGGATCCTGAGTTTCTTCATCTGGAAAATAAAAGGCTATTCTGAAGGATTTAGGATGCTTACAGAAGTCACTAGACTTGGAAGCAATCTTACAAATTTAGTCTAAATCTCTCCCTCATTTTATATTTGAAGAAACAAGCCTACAGAGGTGATTTCTACAGATTATGAGATCACACACATCATTTCCTTCCTACTTGTTCCCCAACTGAAACTTGGATTCCATCTTAGGAACGATCAAGTCTCATGGTGAGCTGTGAGCATTGCCTTATTTCAGTGATAAGCAAGTCTCCACTTAATCTACCACTAGTTCTAAATCATGCAGGGTAGGGGATACACCTCTACCGTACTTTCTAGCTCCTCTTTACATGCTGTCTTCCCTTAGCTGAATGTAAGCTTCATGAGGGCAGGAACTCTCTTGTATTTGTATCCCCAGCACTTTGCAAAATGCCAGGTATCACATAGTAAATGGGGATCAAGTGGTTGGAAAGGGAATACATATTGATAAAGTGCCTACTATGTGCTAGGTACTGGGCTAAGTGGTTTACAAATAATATCTCATTTGATCTTCACAGCAACCTGTGAGATAGGGCTGTTATTATTCCCATTTTACAGTTGAGAAAACTGAGGCAGGCAGAGTTTAAATGACTTGCCTGGGGTCAAGTAAGCCTCTCAATTAGATATGAATTTGGGTCTTCCTGACTTTAGGCCCAGCAAGCACTCTATCCACTGTGCCACCGACCGCCAATGCTAAATGGTATGTAAATACTTGCACACTCTAGCTATCTATCCAGTTATCTATCATCCATCTGGGGCAGATAGGTATCACAGTGGATAGAGTGTGGTGCCTGGAGTCAAGAAGACTCATCTTTGTGAGTTCAAATCTGGGCTTAGACACTTACTAGCTCTGTGACCCTGGTCAAGTCACTTAACCCTGTTTGCCTCAGTTCCTCATTTGTAAAAAGAGCTGGAGAAGGAAATGGCAAACACTCCAGAATCTTTGCCCAAAATAACTGAAATAGGGTCATGAAGAGTTGGACACAACTGAAGAAAAAATCATCTCTCTTTCTACTTGCCTATCTGTTTACTTGTCTATCTAGCTAGGTATCTAGATCTCAATCAATCTGGTTTTCCCAACATCACATGGTGGCAAGACCAGGGCTTGAACTCTTGTCCCTGATTCTAACTGAAGCAGGTAGTATGAGGGTGAGTTTTCAAGGTTAGGTATGGTGCTAGAGAACAGGTAATGAACAAAGACACATCACCATGGAAGAGTCAAGAGGTTTCCATTGGCCCTTGAAGACACTTGATTTCCAAGATAAGGTTTCTAGATTAGGATTCCTTGAAATGAGGTCAGAACTGGGGAAAAAGGCAGAAATTGAGCTCTTAATAGCTGCACAAGCAGCAAAAAAGGAATGCCTTCAAGGTTTTCTTATTATAAGAAGCCAGGCAGGAAAGGAGAAAACAGGTCAAGATCAAAGGAAGCTCTTCCACTGAGTCATCTCCTTGAGTGATGGGACCCAGACAATGACTGCACGTGTGAAGTAAGGTGGATAATAAAGGAGGGCATCCTCGTACCCAGAGGAGCTTCTGAGAGAGGGAATATGGAACTTCAAGGCCAATGTGGATTATTCTTTCCTCCTCTCCTTCCCACCCCGCTCCTCATTATATCTTCAGAAGAACTCCCTGTCCCTGAATGGTACAATAGGAGGTGGAGACAGAGGAATCTATATTTGGGGAAGGGCATACTCAAGCTGCTGTGTGTCCAAGGAAGGGTGTACATCCACCCCAGCCTGGCTCTGGTGACTAGAGACTATGAATAATTATCACAATTTATATTTACATTGTGTTTTAAGGTTTGCAAAGCATTTTCCTCACTATAACATAGTGAGGTAGATAATCTAAGGATTTTATTGCTTCCTTTTACAGATAAGAAAACTGAAATTCTCTATGAAGCAAGATTTGAGCACAGGTCTTTTAATTTCAGGTCCAGCACTCTATACCAGGCTGTCTCTCAGAGCCAGGCTATCTGAGGGTCAGTAGAAAGCCCTGTAGATGATTAGCCTAGAGAGGAGAAAGCTTATGGTGGAGACACCGTAGCTGCCTTTAAGAAGAGTTTTCATTTGGAATGGAAATTTAGATTTATTCTTCTGGATCCTAGAGGGAAGATTCAGGACCAACAGGCAGAAACTATAGGAAGATAGTTTTAGATTCCAGGTAGGAAAAACTTCCCAATATTTAGAGCTAATCCAAAGTAGAATGGGATACCTTGGAAAGTAGTGAGTTCCTCATCATCAGAGGTGAGATGATCACTTATCCCATATGTTGTGGAGATGTCCTATAGGAAGCCATCCTTGGTCCTTGTTATTTGCCTCCAGTTCCCCATCTCCCCCCTTATCATGTAGGTAATTATTTGATACAATGGAGAGACCCCAACTGGAGTGAGGAAGATCTAGATTCAAGTTTTGCCTTAGACACATACTGGCTGTGGACAACTCACTTACACTCTCAGTGACTCAACCAACTCTCCAAGACTATGCTTTTAATTTACATTAGTAGATAGAGGGCATATCTTTTCTCGGAATTCCCTGTCAATGAAATCACATGTTGGCTTGAAAAAAAGATCTGATGACATGTTGTTGTCTCCCAGAATGGAATGCAAGCTTTTGGATGCCAGGATCTGTTCCTTTCTTTGCCTTTGAGGCTACAACAGCTAATGCATTTGCTATTAAGCCATTTTTTAAGTCATTTCTGACTCTTCGTGACCCCATTTGGGGTTTTCTTGGCAAAGATACTCACCATTTCCTTCTCCAGCTCATTTTACAGATGGGTAAACTGAGACAAGCTGGATTAAGTGACTTGCCTAAGGTCATTCAGCTAATATGTGTCTGAGGCCAGCTTTGTCCTCATGATGATGAGTCTTCCTGACTCCAGACCCAGCACTCTATCCATTGTGCCACCGAGGTAGCACACAGAAGGCACCTAATAAATTTTTAATGAATTGAATTAGGCAGCTGGTAGTCCAGTGGAGAGAGGACTGAGTTTAGAATCAGGAATATCTCGATTAGAATCTTACCTCAGACACTTACTGGCTGTGTGTCTTTAGGCAAGTCACTTGCCTTCTGGTTTCCTTATTGGTGAAACGAGGGGATTGGATTTAATGAACTCTGGAGCTGCTTTTAGCTTTAAATCTGTGCTGCCACAGGTAGAGGCTGGCTTAGATGGCCTTCAAAGTTCTTTTCAACCATGATAACTCTGTGATTCTTGACATTACGCTATATGTCAGATATAGATATCAGGTGCTGTCTTCTAAGAACCAGGAATATTCACTCCTAAACTTTGTAGCCCAAGGTGTATAAGATTAGAAGATTCCAAGCTACAGGGCATCTCAGAGATTACCCAGTCTAACACCCTCATTTTATGGTTGAGAAACTGTATCCCAGAGAAGGGAAATATCTCTTCCAAGGTAACATGGGTAGGAAGTAGATAGGAAATGGATAGAAAAAAGTCAAGTGTAGTATCTAGGTTTGCTGACCAGCTCTCCTTCTACAATACTATGTCAACATTTCTCAAGAAGCATATTTCATGCCCTCTGGCTCTTCATAGTTACAAAGTACTTTTCATACATCTCATAATAGTCCCCTGAAGGAGGCAGGGCAAGTATTTTTATTCTCATTTCACAGATGAGGAAACTGAGGCATATATAGAGGAGGTGAAAGAGAATAAATGGCCAAGATAGGGCTCCAACCCAAGTCTCTCGGCTGCAAGTCCAAGATTTCTTCCACTAGCCCTCTCTATCTAATAATAGTAGTACAAAGAACTGACTATTGTGGATTGTTCCATCCCCTGTGTATGAGAGAGAGAAGGAGCAGGACCCCACACTTACCCTGGGCTGCTAGTGTACGCCTGCCCCAACACACAGTCTTCAGGAGGCAAGTCAGGATTAAACCAGAAGTTTGCAAAACACTTTTTGGCTTCTGATTTTGAAGGTGCTGATCGTTCAAACCCATAATCACTAAGAGAAGAAAAGAGAGAGGAGAGATGATTAGATATCATTGTAGTCATTTCAGGGCAATCCCCTGCCCAGCACACTCTAGGGAAGGGCAAAGTTAAGAAAATCCATTTAGAAATTATCACTGAATTTAGAGGACTTTAGAGGTCATTTGGTCTGAACCCCGTGTTTCTTCAGATGAGAAAATTGATGTCTAATAAGGGGAAATGGCTTTCTTCATGGTCCCATAGGTGGTAAATAATCGAGCCACAACTTGACCTTGACTACTTAGATTCTGATTACAGTATTCTTTGCTTTTCATGATGCCTGTTGCTATGGGAAGGATTATGGAGTGGTCCTGGAGGTGATGGACAGCAACGTGGAAAGAATCCCTTTCTGATATTTTTGAGCACTGAACAGTTCAATAACTTACCTAGAGTCACACAGCCAGTATAGGTCAAAGGTGGAACATGAACCCAGATCTTCCTGGCTGTAACCACTGAGCTGTGCTGCTTGCCATCCTCCCCCTCCCAACCTTGAGTTTATATCTTTGTCTGTCTCTGTCTATCTCTGTCTCTCTATCTCTGTCTGTCTCTCTCTCCCTCCCTCCATCTCTCTCTCCCCTACCTTCTTTTTCCCTTCTCTTTCTCTCTTTCCATCTTGCACTGCTTCACTTTTTCCCTCTTCCTTCCCCCTTATGTCTCCCCCCTTTCCCTGTAGAAATTTGATATCCATTTCCTAACCATGAAAAGAGTCATGTACCAATATTCTGTACATTTTATGTATTCTAGTTAAATATCTTTGTTTCTTATGGCCCATGCTGGATTATAAGCTTCCTGAGATTGAATACTGTATCTTACTGAAGCCTTCTCTCTTCTTTAGCATGGACCACAGTGCAATATGCACAGTAGGTATTTCACAAGTGGATCCTGAATATGTGATTGAGTAAATGTATTTTAAGTCTGTGCCTACACAAAAACCAGCCCCTTTTTTACCCCAGGGGCCACTCAGACTCATTGATGACAAGAGGCTTTCCTTGAACTCACCAAAAGAAGTCTGAGCTTGAACACTTGCACACACTGGATGTGAACACTGATGTGAAGCTCTGCCCCTTGATACACCATGATGTGGTCTTCCTTTTCCGGAAACTCCTCTGTTGGCCCATGATACAACGATTGCCCTGTAATCAGCAAAGATGTCAGGCTACAGCACATGATGGTGACAGTTCTAGTTGATAAAAGGAAGACCTTTTTTTTTGTCACTAGACCAAAAGTTGCTCTGAGGAGCCCCATCAGATAATGAATCACATCTCTCATTTTACAGGTGAGAAATTGAACCCAGAAAGAGGAAGAGACTCACCCAAAGTCCTACCACTAGTAACTGACAGAGCCCAACTCAACTGACTCCCCATCCAATCTCTTTCTGTTGCATCACCCTGGACAAGATCATGGAGTGACAGTACATAAGAATGATCTCCTAACCTACCCCTATACGAGAATTAGATTTTGGCATATTCCAAATAGCCTGCTTTTCTATCTAAATAATGTCTAGCTTGGCCTTGACACATGGCAATCTGAGAAGCTCTAAGTGTCCCCAGATACAGTTATATTTCTTTCTATTTTAAGTTTTGTACCTCTTAGGGCCCCTCACTAACCATAGAGCCAGTGTTAAAATATATACATTTCATTCTGTGTGTGTATGACATGTCCATCACCCTCTTAAAGAAAGTATTCTTGACATAAAGTCATGAGATCTCTGTGTGACCTGCTAACTTTTGGCTTTTCTCATTTCTTATTTCAGAATCATATTTTCCAACATTTTTTATCTTCTTATCTTATGCCTATCTTTGCACCGAAGTCAAAGAACATCAAACTACATGTTGATTTAATGCAGAGCATCTTTAAAATTCTCCTTCACGTGTCTCTACTGCAGGGGTTCTTAATCTTTTTTTGTATGTCATGGATCCTCTTTGGCAGCCTGATGAAATCTCTGGACCATTTCTCAGAATAAAGTTTTTAAATATATAAAAATAAAACACATAGGATCATAGAGGAAAGCAAAGGTTAGTAAAAAATAAAGATGTGTGTGTGTGTGTGTGTGTGTATATATATATATATATATGCACATACATTTTTATATATAATATCACTTATATGTGATAAATGGGAAACATATTTTTGTTGTTGAGCCATTTCAGTCATGTCTGACTCTTAGTGACACCATTTGGGGCTTTCTTTGCAAAGATACTGGACTGGTTTGCCATTTCCTTCTTCATCTTGTTTTACAGATGAAGAAACTGAGACAAACAAGGTTAAGTGATTTGCCCAGGGTTACAAAGCTAGTAGGTGAAGCTGGATTTGAAGTCAGAAATATGAGTGTCCCTGATGGGATATACCTATATCTATATCCATATTTACATCTATTTCTATATCTATATATTTCCCATCCGAGGTAATGGCCTCCTTGAAATCTACCCTAGGTTACAAACCTCTTGCTCATGTCCTTATTCTCTACAATGTATGTTGAATAAGCTATAATTATTTTCTTGTGTGTCTTTTTACAAATGCTTATCATGAATACTGCAATAGGAGATGACCCAAATGTTCCAGGAATTCATATTTTTTGTTGCCTTTGGAGACACGAAAAAACACGATCCCCTAATACTTTTATTTGGCCTGCCAAATAAAGAGAACCCGTGATCGGTGCTTTCATTTCACTGTAACTTCCTTTTATCCTCTCATTATATTTACTTTGAGCGTTTCAGGACTGAGACAATTCAATTCCATTAGTAACATGCTTGCTCACCAATGGTCATTAGTAACTGGAAAAGGATCTCCCATTTGTGATACTGAGAGCAAAGTTAATGTTTAGAGACAGGCATAAAATGATGTGATTCTTTGTCTCCTCTGTCCCCCTTTTACATAGTAAAAGTACTACCACCCTCATTGCAGAAGCAACAGGGGGCTGAGGACTGAGGGCTGTTTTCCATTTTTCTTTGTTTCAAGGGGTTACCAAAGAATTCATCACTGAGTAGCCAACCTATTTTTAAAAAGGTTCTTTGATCTTCGGTGGATTAGCTCTATTAGTCTGTTGCAGGAACTGATGGAATTGAAGTCTTACTGGTCCATTACAACCTGTCAGAGCTTACACTCTGATATGGCAGAGCTCAGGTGACCCAGGGTTACCTAGTCCATAATGAGGCATCATAGTAGGACTTGATGAAGGAAGCCACCAACTGTTGAGTCATTTGTTCCCAGAGCCTGCATTGGTGTATATCTTATCCCAATTTCTGGTTCATTACGGACAACTGAGACACAGTCAAATTCAGTGTTGTCCATGCACAGTAACTGCTTGCTTCTTTGCAGTTCCATCAAAATACCTGTAAGTTGGTGAGATTCCAGTAGTCATAATCATCCTCAGTGCATTGCCTGGGAAAAGAGGGTCTGAAGTCCACCTTCACCAGCTCCCAATCTGAACGGAAACTTATATGACCAAAGACTCTGGTAAAGGAGAGGAGAGAACATATCCAGAAATACTCATTTGTTTACCATCCCACCCCCCAATATCTGTTAAGTGTATAGAGGGCTTTATGCTAGGTTCTGAGGAGATATTAAAATGGAAAAAAGGAAAGACTGTCCTTGCCATCATAGGTTTACAGTCTGGAGGGTTGGGGAGAAAGACAAGATAAATGTACCATAATACAGTTTGGAATGTGAACATGCAATGAATAAAACACGAAGAAGTACATTAATTCTGAAGAAGGGGATATCATTTCCAGCTAGAAATATTAGGGTTAGGTGGACCTTGGGGAATGTGTATGAATTTGGCAGACCAGTCTCCTCACTATTCTTAGGTAGAAATTATGAGGAGGCAAATTTCAATTCAATATATAAGTAGAATTTACTAATACTTACTGTTCTTCAATAATAAAATGGACTCCCTAGTGAGCTGGTAGACAAATTTTGGGGAATATTCTGGACGGAATTTATGGGCTTGATGATTGACTCAGGTGTCTTTCAATTTTCTGATTCTATGAATTTGTAATAAATAATCCCTGCCCTCAAGGAGCTTACAATATACTTGGGGAGGCACAATGTATATATGTAAAATAAAATATGTGTATATATATATATATATATATATATATATATATATAAAAATATAAAATATATATATATATAAATATAAAATATATATATATATATAATATATATACATATATAACATATATGTATATATATGTGTATATATATATATATAATATATATTCTAAATAGTAGATAGTTAAAAACTAAATGGTTTGCTGCAAAGTGTTAGCCTCCCAAGAAGGCAATGTAAAGTTTAAAGAACACTGACTCTGGACACAGAGGATTTGGGTTCAAATTCTGCCTGTGACATTTACTAACTATATGACTTTAGGCAAGTTGCATATGTTTCGTTAACTAAGAAATGAAGAGATTGGAGTAGTAGACTCTGAGGTTCCTTCTGGGTATAGATTTATGATCTTTTCATCTCATAATGTTGTTGTCTGTCCATAAATATATTAAGGGAAAGAGGGAGAGAGGGGAAGAAAACAATCATTTATTAAGTGCATATTATGTGCCAGGCACAGTGTACACTGTACTTTGCATACAGATATTATGTCATTTGATCTTCACAGCAACCATGAGAGATAAGTGCTTTGATTATCCACATTTTGCGATTGAAGAAAATGAGGCAGATAGTGGTTAAGAGACTTGCATAGGGTCATACAGCTACTAAATGTCTAAGGCTATATTTGAAGTTGATTTTTCCAGTCTCCAAGCTCAGTGCACTCTACCCATTGTGCAATCTAGCTGCCTCAGAAGAGGGAAAGGCTCAGAAAGTAGTATTATCAAGTAGCCAGCTATTTCTGCCCTTAGAACACAAAGTCATCATGACCCAGCTCTTTAGGGTATACTGTGCCTTAAGACCTCTAGCAGCTTGGAATAAAGCTCATTCATATCAGGGTAGCATAAATATAGGGTAGCTAGGTGGCACACTGGATGGAGCACTTGGCTTAGAATCACAAAGACTCATCTTCATGAGTTCAAATCTGTCCTCAGACACTTACTAGTTGGGTCACCATGGGCAAGTCACTTTACTCTGTCTGCCCAAGTTCCTCATCTGTAAGATGAGCTGGAGAAGGAAATGGCAAACCACTTCAGTATCTTTGCCAAGAAAACCCCAAATGGGGTGATGAATAGTCAGATATGATTGAAGTAACCAAATGAACATTATAACTATAAACACATTGGGAAAGCTTACCCAGCGAACACTGCTCCTTAATACTCCATATAATTAGTTTGAAAATATCAGCTCAGAAGCCTGGGACAGCCCTGCTTCTAAAAGTTGGTTGTAGACAGTCTTAGAAGGGAAAAGAAGCTGGTGACCTCTTTAGGGTTATGGGTAGCAATTAGTGTTTTCTGTCACACAGATTAATTGTTCTACTTTCTGATTATAGCAATACAGAGAATGGCCGTTCAGTCCAATCAATGAATATATTTATATTATACACATATAAATTTATACATACTTTAATGGATCTGTAATATCATTGATATGAGTAATCCTTTTAATGCTGTAGATTGTAGTATATATATATATATATATATATATATATGTTTACATATACACACACTATATATGAATATATTCATATTATGGTTATATATGTGTGTATATATTTGTGTGATATACATATAAGTAAAACTATATATATATATATATGGGAATGTGTAAATATATAGGATATCAGAGAAAAGGAATCATCTAAGAAAGCTTCATGAGAGGTAAGGCTTGAGTTGGGCCTTGAAGGATATGTGGGAAAGAGTGAAAAGTGTATTTCAGGCATTAGGGCCATCATAAACAAAGGAACAAAGAGAAGAAAGAGCCAGCCATGTAATACAGGATGTGAAGGGTGGATAGAATAGAACATTTGTGTTAGGGAATGCTGAAAGATAAGATTGGATCAGTAAAGTGATGGTCACATCATAAGGGGTACTGACTACTCAAAAAAAGGCATACCCAGAAATGAACAGGCCAGTTCTTTTGTGTGGCTTATGACATGTCTTCAAAGGCCGGTTCCTAGAGAGGAAACATCTAGGTTCAATTCCTTAGGCCAAACTAATGAAAGTGATGAAATGAGTCAACAATTCTACTGTCTTCTGCTGAGGTTGGATCCATCCAGAGTACTGTGACTATGTAACTCACTGACAAATGAGTTGGTCCACATCAGGTGAACAGGATGACTAGAAGTCTTAGAAAGAAGAATCGCATAGTAGAAAAAAAAATCTGGATTTGCAATAAGACTATGACACTTAATAGCCACGTGATAATAGTATGTTTGGGGAAAACACTCCATTGGGAGGGGGGTACTAATTGTTTTTTGGTGGCAGACTGTCTTGACTCTAGACATAGCCCTTTTTCTTGTTTGCTACTCCCTCTCTTTTCTGGATTTCACCATTAATCTTCCAAGCTAGAAACATCCATTTTCCATGCCATCTTTCACATGAGAGGTGGAAAAGCAGTCAGATATTTTAGATAGAGACCTTATCCTTACTTGGTAGAATTTGTGCCAAGTCTTAAGGCAGCCTTTCACAATGACCTTGTAGATTTCTTCTCCTGCCCTGACATTCACTAACTCTTCTGGTTTCTGGTTATCTCACTAGTGACCATGACTGGAACTTTTGCATCCTGTTGTGGCTGGATCCTTGTTGTACCCTTACCCTTATCCCTCATCCCATATCCTTGGATATCTCCAGTTAAGCTTCATAGTTAAAGAGTGTCAAATAAAACACATATTGCTTTGCTTTACTGGCATATCTACCTTTCTGTTTGTAATATGTAAGATGGGGGCAAATAATACTTACATTGCCTGCCTCAAAAGGATGTTGTAAGAAATAACAATTTCTCAACCCACAAAATGCTATAAAAATGTGGGATAATATTAATTATCTATATCACATCAGAGATTATTAAGAGAATGATGGGTATTTAGCCTGCATAATCCAATCCAAGACCACAAATGTTTATTAAGGACATTGTTTGTGCAAGGAGGCCCTGTAATTGGCTGGAATGTCAAGTGGGTAAAGGCAAGACCTTTAAATAAATAAAACTGAATTTAACAACAGAATTTGCAGTGCTGGTGATATCCAAACAAAGACTCGAGAGGGGGCTTGGGAAGCGATTCCTGAATTAGGAAGCAGGATTGACTAGACGTTCCCTCTACGAAGTGGTACAAAACAAAGTCCTTTATTTGGAGGGGTGAAGCAACTTTGTATCTTCTCTAGGGGGAGGATGAAGGTGCTTAATATGTTTGGGGGATTAAACTGAATTTCTGTGGGAAGAAAACATGAGCACGAACAGGGTTTTTTTTTTTTTCCTGTTTGTTCCTAATAACATGAGAGAAAGAAAATGAGAAAAGAGAGGCAGAGGTGAACAATTTGAAATCATTCATTTTAAGATATTGTTAGGAGGGAAGGAGGAAGCAAGTCAATGTGTTATTATGATCTGTCCCATAATGGATGGCTACAAAATACTGGCTAAAATGTGGAAATGAACTAATCTCCAGCCACCCCACATTCATCGTTGAACTCGGACAGAGGCTAATTTGCACCTATTAGCTGCTGTAAAGAACTGCCTGAGAGGAAAATGTCAAGACATTTTATTACAAAGTCAAGTGAAGGAGAAGGCCTGCCTGACCTCAGGATCATCTGATCGTGGCTTAGAACCAGAAGGGATCTTCGACAGCATCTAGTCCAATCCCCTTTGCAGATCTCGCAAATGCCTCAGCCGAGGCCTTATTGGTGCATTCATTCCTCCCCACCTCAGGCCTGGTTTTAGTGCAAGGTCAGTACACTCTGTGTCTTGAGTGACTTTTGACAAGTGAACTGAGGCATAACAGCTGCTTGCTTTCTGATACATGTAGGATGAGACCTGGTATGTGATTTCCTTTGAAATGGGAATGTCCTCCACAGGCTGCAGGTCAATAATAATAATAATAATAGTAATCATAGCATGTAAATGCTAGCTTTAAGTTTTGCAAAGTAGTTTGTAAATGTTATTTTGTTCATCCTCACAACAACCCTGGGAAGTAAGTACTATTCTTATGCCCATTTTGCAGATTAGGAAACTGAGGTACCGAGAGGTTGAATGATTTGCCCAGGGTCACACAGCTAGTGTTTGAGGCAGGTGTAGAACTCAGGTACTCCTGACTCCAAGCTCAATACTCTATCCTCTGCACCACCTCACTTCCTCAGCATCTCAGGTGAGTGCTGCCCTTGCACCTTGGAGACAAAATTGTCAATGGCACCAAGAAGTGGTCATTTGTTCAGGGTCCTGCACTCAGCACATCACAAAGGAGGGATCTGAAAACGAGTCTATCTGATTTTAAGGCTAGCATTCTACCCACTATGCCAGGTATCTCTGATACGCATTCTGACGGGGAAAAATAGGAAACAAAATTATTACCAATAACTAC